AAGCAATTCAGAAGCGAAAGCGAAGAACTGAAGTGAAGTACTAATTGGAAAAGTTCCATTTCTGAATAGCTGCTGCAGTCTTCTTCACTTCACTTGCTGTCAGAAAATGTTAAAAGTTTAAAAACAGAAAACGCCGTAATTCGTTTTTAACATGGATGGTTGTTAAATTTGTTAAAAATCTTAATTGGGACAGTATTTTAATGAGGAAGATACATTTATCATTCCTTAAAACTGACAGATTCAAGTGTAAGTATTATCTTAAATATTTCTTGACATTTATATAAATAATAGAAAAATAAATACCAAGCAATAAACATTTAGTGAAAAATTAATGATTTTTCTATGCTAATTTGTCATTTAAAAGAATAAATTAAGAAAAATTTTATATTTCTCTTATTATTTGTTTTATTTAATTGAATTTAAAAATCATAATAAACAAACAAAATGATTATTTATTGTAAATTACAAAGCATTTAAGCATTTAATGATAATTAATGATTTTTATTTTCTAATTTATTGTCATTTCATTGAATCAATTAAAATTTTTTTTTTATTTCTCTCATTATTTGTTTTATTTTATTGTATCTAAAAATCACAATAAACAAACAAAATATTTATTTACTGGAAATTTCGAGATGCTGTGCAGCAAATAATATTTTAGCAATTATTTTTTAAAAATTTTGCTGTTATTTAATTTTAGAAGCTTCTACCTGGAATCAAAATTTAAAACTGATACTGAAATTAAGGGGAAATAAATCCAGACAGAATTTTATTGCTGACTAAATTATTAAAAACTAATGCTTTTAAAGCCTTAAAATTGTCAAATTAAATTATTTCAAAAACTCAGTTATTTAAAATGTCTGACATTTTTAATTTAGCAAAGGAGCCTTAAATTTTAGTTTTAAGTAATAGGGAAAGCTAAAATAATTTATTTTACCCTACTAAATCAATTATAATCCTTTTTTATGTCCATAAAATGTTTTTATGCTGTAAAATATTAAAATTGAATGATTTCTATTTTTTGAAATATTAACGCGCTCTTCATATTTTTTGCATATTTATCAAATATTCATATTTTATTACATAATTGATTCAATTTTGAAGATTAATTTTGATCCTAGTCTAATGTGATTTTTTATGGATGAATATTTTGAAATAATAATTGCTTTGAATATTATGCTTGAACTTTTCCAGACTAATGCACGAAAAAAAAATTATGAAATGTAAAGGAATAAATTTGATTAGAAACGACCAAACTTATGTTTTAAACATATATTAATAAATAGGGGAGAAGAGTCTATAAATTTTCTTTATCCATAAAGAAAATGAATTTGTTCTTATATTTACAGTTGCATATATACATCTTAAAATATTAATAAGTAATTTCTTATAATTAAAAATAATGAGCGAATTCTAAGCAATTTACCTTTTCTTGCAATCCAAATAAACTTTGCAACCATTGACATGTTGTTCTAATGCAGCTGACAATATAGACAGTTCATCTTTATGACACAAGCAACGGCTGCACTGCCGTTACTCATTTAGCACTACCCAGGGGGCACGTGTAGCTTGAAGATATACTACAGACGCGTGTAACACTACCCCCACAACGCTCTACGATCTTATTAGGACTAATTAAAGTGGATTCCGAACCACTACAAACATTCATGTCACAGCCGGGATTCGAACCCGATACCTGGGATACCGAGTGCCAGAGAACGAGCACTCGGCCATGAGGCCCCTCACATCCTGGCACTGCTGCCCGTGTGGACCAAAGCCGTCTGTCGTATTTGTTTCGCTCTTATAATAAGGCTCAAGATTCTTTAAGTTTGTTGAGCATCTTATAATGGTTATTACTTCTATACGTTGTCCGTTGAATTATTTAGGCTTGACGACCAGGTTATTGTGGCTAACATCTTTTCTTATCTTCTGAAGAATCTGCTAAGCCTTTTGATTTCTGTATAACGTTAATACTTCTTCACTTTGGCCTTTGAAACATGTAAAGTTCATGGTCTTTCTTCGATGGGCAACCTCTTTACTTTGTCCTGTAAATATACTAAGCTTGTTGACCACTTTATAATGGCTATCCTGGAATGGAATGAGGCTTGATGAGGTTTACCACATGATGCTTTTTTGGAAAGTTTGAGATTACCAGCTCTCATATAGAAGAAAAATTTGATAGCATCGAACAATCCTATTGCCACTATGATATAAGTAATCTCGATCGAAACTAGTTATGCTACTTAACTTTTTCAAGCAATGATTTTAATGATCTCCACTAATGGGAATAAAACCTTTTTCTTCTTGTTGGTGAACTAATAGCTACAAATGCTTGATAATCTCTTTGGAAAAGGTTTGTCATTAATAAATTTTTGACCTCTTCCTTACAAAAAATAAGCGTTAATAAATTTATTTTAATTTAACGATTGGAACGAGCGAATATAAGTACGCTAGATAACTAATATTTAAATAATTTTGTCATCCTCCCATTTACATACAAGTATTAAATAGTGTGTGGCTCATGACAGACACTTTTAACAGAGTTATGCATTATTAACACACAGCAAACTCATTGAAAATAAAATTAACTTCTAGACATGAGAACGATGATGAGTTAATTTGTTTACTAGCCTGTAAGAGACTCTTTAGTGTAGGCAAATTATAATATAATTTTATTATAGTTAAAATCAATGCATATAAATTTAAAAGCTTTAAAAGTAATTTTAAGTCAATTCAGTGTAATTTGCATGCATTTTCGATACATACATTCTATTTTTTTAAATTTATTTTAATGCCCTTAAGTAAAATTTAAAAGAAATGGGAATTTTAATTAACTATATTTTTGTATGAATTTATCTTGTTTAACTATTGGCTGAAATTATTTTCGGTGCAATAATTTAGTTAAAAATGGAATTATATATGCAGATTTTAAAAAGTTAATAATTATTTTTTAAAGAAAATGGAAATAAAACGTTTCAGATGTAACAAATAAAATAATTAACTCATTAACACAAATACTATTTTTAATTTAAAAAAGAGGTGACATCATTTGTGTTTTAAGAAATAAAAAGAAGGAAGCCATTGTTTGCTTAGGAGGGAAACAAGGCTCCAATAAATAAAAATAATCGTGTCCCCGTCTCGTGGCTCAGCGTTAACGTACGCCGCTGTTGAGCATTAGGGCGGAGGTTCAACCCGCTTTTGACATTGTTGTAGAAACTGTCTCAAAACCGAGTAGACTCGATGGCGTTTGTAATGTTCAGCCTCTTGTCTCATTAGTCAGTACCTGCTGGGAGTTTTCTGGGTTTTCTCCCATACGATATGCAAATGCGGTTTAATTCCCTCTAAAAGTCCTCTTAGAAGGCACTGTCCTCCTTCTTCAGCGACACGGAACCAAGTCAGACTTCTACCTACGGGTGCACCTTCACACCAGAAGCTGTCCCTTTACCTCCATTCATGAGTAAACTACTCATGGGGTGTTTGTCCTGCGCTGTCGGACACTGATGTTTAGTCACAAACAACAGGATAATACGAACTATCTGATATGATAATACTTACTAACTATGAATGATGATAGCAGATATATAATAACAAGAAAGCCAGGTTTGGATTTCATCTGGTGACACGAGTTACGTCATTGCTTTGAAAAGCCAGATTTGTAATGATTAGGATAGAATGTGCTACATACAGAGTTAATGGATGGAGTGTACTGATTTTCTAATACTACATGTAAATGGGATGCAATTATCCTTAAAAGACTTTCAGTAACGCATTGTTCACGTCTTTCACTCTTGTGAGTGTAGCTCAGTGGCCACCAAAGTGGTCGATATAATATATACTGATCTATTGTGGACTGACAGGAAAATTAAAGTCATCAGTGTAAGTGAATTAATTAATTGGGTTAACTTAAATTACCTTCGTCCTGAATGAAAATTTTCTACAGTAGTTCATCTCTATTCGATTGCATTATCAAGATTGTTTATGATAAAGATGGTTTCAACCATTCTGTTTTATCAAAACTAACAAACTAGATATAAAAATGCTTAAGGAATTCTATTTATAGGTGGTTTGAATTGAACATTAACTATTAAAGGTAATTTTACCTAATATGTGTGAATTTTGAAGCGTTTGAAATCTAATTTTGAATTTAACAATGCTAATTTTGACATCAAGTACATTTTCCCCACTAACACAGTCAATAACTTGTAAACTAAGGTTAAAAAAGGCTATATAATGGAATTGAATTGCTGCTATTTAAATTAAATTGAATATAATATTTATACGAAGTCTAAAATAGTTCATCTCCATTTGATTGCATTACCAAGGTCGAATAGGGCTGGAGATAGTTTTAGGCATTTTATTTTATGAAAACTAACAAATTAATTAGATATAGAAATCTTTAAGAATTCTATTTCTGGCTGGTTTGAATTCAATATCAGTTATTAAAGCTAATTTTACCTAGTAGAATTTTTAATGTTAATTTTGAAACAATTCAAAGCTAATTTTCAATTTAAGAATGCTAATCTTGACACCAAGTACACCTTTTCCCCCTAACAATGTCAATAAATTGTATACTAAATTTGAAAAAAAAAACCTATTTAATTAGACTGCATTGTTATTATTTAAATTAAATTTAATATAATATTTAAACATACTCATAACTTATACATACTCATATATACTATAATATTTATACATCTAATATAATATATGTTTGTTGTTGTTGTTGTTTCTTACCCACTTGGCTGGCCAAGCCCACGAGCCATACGTACTCATGATTGAAGGGGAAGGAAGCAGCTTCTGTTGTGATGGAGCACCCGTAGGTAGAAGCCTGACTTTTGCTCCGTGACGCTCTTACAGACATAAGAGACCGGGACCTACGGTTTAAAGTGGATTCCGAACCACTATAAACATCCATGGCACCACCGGGAATCGAACCCGAAACCTGTGGCACCGAGCGCTAGAGACACTCGGTCATTCAGGTCCCAAATGTGTGAATGCCAACGGTACGCGGTGTCCCCAGGTGGTCACCCACCCAAGTACTGACCGCGCCCAATGATGCTTGACTTCGGTGATCTAACGAGAACCGGTATATTCAGCAGGTTATGGCCGTTGGCATAATATAATATATACATGCTAAAATAATAATTTTAAGAAGAATTTCAAAAGCAAAATTATTTTCTTTGAAGTGTGAAGCCAATATAATACTGATACTATACACAGTCATCGAAAAACTTTAGACACAATTATTAATAATTTTCTAACGAAATATTTAAGATAAACTATTTTATCCCTTTAATGCCTTAGAAATTATTAGAGTTTATCTTATTAAGTTTTAATATGAAAATCGTTGGTTTTTCTGCACACATCCAGCCAATAATTTAACTCTTTGATGCGATAAATCATCTACGTTATATCACTACAGTAGTTCCCTATTTCTTCGCTGAAAATAGTGTTTTTAAGATAATAATAAAGAAAAAAACATCAGAAGTTTAGTGGTGATGTATTAGAACTTCTTGAGTTCGTAGAACGGAAACTGCCTTGCAAAACCATTCGTTCTGGAACTGATGATTGAGAACTTGTCGTAAATTTAGATTGTATTGAAGAGGGGGAGGGTGCTGAAAAAAGATGTTGATATTATTTTGAAGTTTAATTTATGGGAAACTAAAATGCTGTAGCATATCTAAATAAACATTTTCTGTGACCATAATAGGCGGGCTGAAAGGTTCGTAGGCTGACACAGAGATGGCGCTATTAGTATTAAATCCATATGAATTTTAGTTTGCCGTAACATTCAAAAGACACGTGTTTAAATTTGACAGCTGTTACACTATTAGTATGTGAGGTATAGCATTTTTAGTGTTCATGACGTGCAGTCCACTCGGCTGACTGTCGATTGGACTCCGGTGTGAAATGATGGATCCACGTTTCATCCATTGTCACATTTCAACGCAAAACGGGTTTATTACGATTGAACAGCTTCAAACACTGCTTAGAATCATCAATTCATTGTTGTTTTGGGTCGATTGTGAGCTCTGCGCGGCACCCACTTTGAACAGAGCTTTCGCATATCCAATATTCGTTCACGATATGTCAACACGTTCCTTTGATATCTTTAGGGTCTCAGATATCTCAATCAACTTCACTTTACGGTTATCGGAAATTATTTTGGGGACTTTTTTGATGTTTTCGTCGGCAGCAGCCTCTTTGGGGCGTCCACTGCGTGCATCGTCCACTGCGCTCATTTCGCCTCATTTAAATTTAGCAAACCACTTCTCTACGGTTGATTTTCCTGGTGCAAAGTTCGAATAATGTTTATCAAGCCAAGCCTTGGCTTCAATAGTATTTTTTTACCCCAAAAAGCAATGCTTTAATTAACACACGAAATTCCTTTTTATCCATTTTTTCAAACTAACAAAATTTGCTTCACTAAAACTGCTATAACTGACATACTAATAGGGCAACAGCTGTCAAATTTATACACGTGTCTTTTGAAGGTTGGGGCTAACTAAAAATCAAATGGATTTAATACTAGTAGCACCATCTATGTGTCAGCCGACCAACATTTCAGCCCACCTGTTACAGTCCAAAAAATTTCGAGTTCTCTTGATCAGTCACTACTGTTCTGAAGGAATGCATAAATCTTCCTTCAATGCTCACAATTTCTGCACATAGTCTGCTAATCATAGTCTGTTTATCTTAATAAGTTTTAATATAATCATGATTGTTTTTTCTGCACCCATCAAGTCGTCAATCAATCTCTCTGATACGATAAATCATGTTCTATCACTGTGATAGACCCATATATCTTAACTGGAAACATCCTTCTTAAGATAATAGTAAAAGAAAAAAAACATTTTCATCATAGTTATCATAGTTAAAAAGGAAAAGAAAAGGTTGCATTTAAAAGTTACATTATTGCATCTGATCCATTACTTTCGGAGTCATGATTTTTTTTAAATGTATGCAACTTTTTTTGATAACTCTGTATTATGCCTGCAATAAACAAAGTTACAATAAAACAACCTGCAAACACGCATTATTTGCTTGTTTTATTATTGATATTTAAAAGGTAACATAGGGGTTGATAGCAGCCCATTAGATTCCTAAAAGAATTGATAATCACAGAAGATTAGGTTTTTCAGGTGTAACAATCTTCTTATATCCGTGCGGCCTGATGGCCAATTGGCTAGCTCTTTGTTCTTTGGTACCATAGACTTCAGGTTCTAATCCTGGCGGTGGCATGGATGTTTGCTAGTGGTTCGGAATCCTCATCAAACAGTAGGTCCCAGTCTGTTTAACCTAAAGTGCGCACAAAATAACCGTAGAGTGACAAATCGAATATTTACTGACTTGCTCCTTGATTGATGCTTCATGTATTAGAAACCTACTTCATTAATGGTGTATAATTTTAAGTCAAGTGCTTACTGAAAAGTAAATATTTGTTTTTTCATTAATAATGTCTCCATAAACAGATTTTCTAGAAAACGAATGAATTCCCAAGTGTGGTTTACGAATCAATTTTGTTAACGTATTATCAATATAAATTAATATATCCTAAATTATAATTTTGGGCCTGAATGACTAGCTCTCTGGCGCTGGTTCGAGTCCCGGCGGTGCCATGGATGTTTGTAGTGGTTCGGAATCCACTTTAAACCGTAGGTCCCGGTCTAATAGGATCGTAGAGCGTTGCGGGGGCATTGTTACACCGCGTCCGTGGCTCATCTTCAATTGACACGCGTCCCCTGGGTCATGCAAAGTGAGTAACGTCTGTGCAGCACTTGGCTTAAGGCATCCAAGACAAAGCTGTCTAAGTGTTTGCCAGCTGCATTAGAAAGAAAAAAAAATTATAAATTTAAGTTCTTAAAATAACATTATCCCCATTAAATGCAATTTTCCAATGACGACAAACTCCAAACAGACACAGCTATTACTGAAATATCTTACTATGGTTTAATCGCGTTAGGAAATTTCAGCTCATAGCACGTCCTGCGATGATTTATTTGATGCTTCAGGGAGAAAGTTGTTGACAGTCGCGACAATTCCCATTCATTTCAGTGACAAACCAAACACCGATTCGCAGTTGGCAGGCGCCGTGCTAAGGGATCCGTATCAAGAGTGGGAAACTGAAGACAAGTGTGAGAATGACAGGCACATGATTAATATTTTGTAATTGTGTTTGTAATCCTTAATACAGATAAAACATGGAAAAATTTCAGTTGGATTACGGTTCGTAGATTGTGATAAATTATTAGGTTTAAGTTCACATTTAATAATAATATTATAAAGTTTAAAGTGTGGCGTAGAATGGCCGAGTGTCTAGTGCTTGGTGCCACATGTTTCGGATTCGAGTTCCGGTGGTGCCATCGATGTTTGTAGGGATTCAGAATTCACTTTAAACCTTAGGTTCTGGTCTCATCTGACTGTAGAGCGTCACAATGCCAAGTCAGACTTCTACATACGTGTGCTCTATCATAAAAAGAGCTACCCCCTTTTCTTTCAACCATGAGTCCATACGGGTTCGTGGGCTTGGTCTAGATGTCTACTAAGTGGGATAAAAAGCAACAAAAACAATTTTAAAGGTTTCTTTTGAAATATCGTGTTCTAATTATGTATAAAAGGAATTGCCCACCGATGGTAATGACCAGAAGACATTGTCTTCCGAGAGGACTTTTAGGGATGATTGCCCCACATTTACGTGTTGTATGCCGAAAACCCCAGACAATTACCACTAGGCATCTTAATTTCACATGCCTGATGTTTTAAGTACATTTCCACAATTGCCTAGAGTTATCTTCCCTCCTCGCTTTTAAAATTTGAGATTACAGCAGATGCACGTTAGTTGTGCGTTGTACCATTGAGTTGCAAGTAGTATAAAATTGAAATTTTCTTTAAAATAAGTGGTTTGAGTTTCATCATCTTCAAATTTTCATCTTTGCTTCTCCATCTAAAAAAATAGATGATATTTACGTATTCCCCATATTCCTAACGTTTCATTATTATGTTAAATACCATAGAAGCTTTCACATTTAATTAAATTTATTAATTAATTAAATTAATTAAATTTATTCTTATATATAAATAAAATTTTTTAATAACATTAAATATTCATAACCCTAGACAACAAAAACTTAATTTTCTTAAAATTAAATGTGTGAATTGAAGTCTAACTACCATTAATTAACAAGCATCTGATTTCACTTACAAAAATGAATGTATGCTATTAATATATATATATATATATATATTTGTTTTAATTTCTATAAAAATACTCTGCAATAACTACAACGTTGTATTTTAAAAGCGATAATTCTTTACTAAATCCCATAGAAACTTCAATTAATAACTTCGAAATATGGTAAACATCTAAAATTATTTATGTCTTACAATCTTTATGTCTATAATGTGAATAAAAGTTAGCTGTAAAATTGATAATAATTAAGATCGTGTCCTTAAATATTTTCTATATGTATAATTTTTATTTTTCTACTTGACTTAAGGTATTTTAACATTTTCTATTTGATTTAAGGTATTTTAACATTTTCTATTTGATTTAAGGTATTTTAACAATTTCTATTTGATTTAAGGTATTCTAACATTTTCTGCTTGACTTAAGGTATTTTAACATTTTCTACTTGAAACATGTTGCGATCTTCTTTTAACACATTTGACTCCCCTGTTTACTATGTCGAGATCTGAGAGTAGATGGGTTTGGTTTGTCGCTCTACGGTCATTTTTTGCACACTGTCATTTAACTTTTATTCCAAACCACTAACAAACATCCATGCCGCCGCCAGAATAGTAGATGGGAGAGAGGTAGTTTGTTCCTCACGTTGCAGTTTGAACCCGAAAAAAGTATCTACAAAACCATATTGAATCAAACCGGCTGTCATTTGGTATGGCGAAAATCTTCTGAAGAGAGAAATAAAAGGAGACATGATTTTTCGTCAATCGCAATTCACGAAAGGCGAGAGAACATATTACCTACGTGAGGTAATCGTTTTTTTTCTTCTGTATTTCTCAAGCTAGGGCCTGAATGGCCGAGTGGGTAGCGCTCTGGTGCTCGGTACCATATGTTTCGGGTTCGAGTCCCGGCGATGCCATGGTTGTTTGT